CCCCGCTCACACTCTCTCTCTCAAAATGAATAAACATTAAAAGAAAGAAAGAAAGAAAGAAAAGGAGAGAGAGAAAAAGAAGAAGGAAGGAAGGAAATTTGGTAAGATTGCTGACCATGTAGAAAATGGCAGGTGTTTTAGTTACATCTCCTTTCTGACTGTTTGATATATACATGTATGTTTACTAAATGTCTCCAGTCCCTTTGACCTTCCCAGAGACATCACACACTACTCGGTTTACACCTCGATTCCTACAGCCAATTCCTGGCTGGTCTCCCAGGCTCCTTCTGGCCTTTCTTGCTCCCATCAATCTTCTATGATTCTATACCCATTTCCCTCAAGTGCTGGTCCCACCCTTGCTCTCCCAGAACAACCTAGAGTAGATTCTTGTGTATCAAACACTAACAACAACTATGGTAAAGTCAACAACAATGACTTATATTTGCTTGACATTTGCACATACATTATCCATTTAATTTTTTTAACTTTTTTTAAAAGATTTTATTTTTAAGTAGTCTCTGCACCCAATATGGGCCTTGAACTCACAACCGGAGATTGAGGGTCCCATGATGTACTGACTGAGCCAGCTGGGCACCCATATCCCATTTCAGTTAATTCCCATCTTTCTTGGGGTGTCCGGCTTGCTCAGTTGGGTCCCCATTTCAGTTGTGACGACTACTTAAAAAACAAAACAAAACAAACCCCCAGAACATAAATAAAACATGTAGTTGTGATTAATAAGGCAACTCAGAAAAAAAATAATTTCCATCTTTCTTTTCCAGATTTCAAGGCCTTCAACCAGTGTTGCCCTTTTATTTCTAAGATTGTTTCTTGTCAAACATTTTGAGTACATTTGTTCTAAAAGTACTAAAACCAGGTACCTGAGAGTCATCCTTGACTTCTCTAATCTCCATTCCCCACCCCTAATTCAGTCCATCAAGTAACACTGGTTCTGGGCCTAAAACTCACGTGAAAGACATCCATTTCCTTCCAGGTCTCGTGGTGAGGCTTGCAGAGTAAAGTAGCACAGGG